AAACCATAGGTCAATGCACAAAGGTTTAACACCTAGCTCCCAATCATATTCCTTTACTATGCTTTAAACTCAAAAATCCGGATTATGTAGTTAGCTCACATCTAGAATTTTTAAATCAGTCAAAATTTGGACACAGATCACTGAAGAGGAACTATTCAACTTTGAAAAATTCTTTTCCATTCATTCATTTTTCATTCACGGTTAACAAAAAGTGCAAATTCCGGGTTTCTAGCTCAAACTGTATTGTAGAAGTAGCTTAAATTTGAACCCAGGTGAAAAGGGAGTGCAGGAAAATTTACAGCAGTTGGACAAATAAATCAGCAAAATTTCGGTGCAAAAATTTATTTCGTGTTTTCAGCTCGGTAAGTGAAAAACGAACTGCTTGAAGTTTTTCACAAATAAACTATAAAATGAATTTGAATTTAAACCTGAGACAAAGCATCCAGGGTGGAAGATGCCCTGCTTTATTTCAAGTTTCTGGTCTAAGCTCCCTAAAATTTCAGCATCTTAGCTTCGTAGTTTTGAAACCGGAAGATCTTTTCAGATAGCTATATACACATTATACACAAAACAACATACACACAAACATGATTTCATACCATTTTCTTTTCATCGCACTAGTGATGCAAAAACGCATAAAAATCTAAACAGAAAAAAACAAACTTTATATTGCGTCTCATGGCGCTCCTGCGAAAGAAATGGCGGTCGCCCGAAAACCATTTCGTACAGAATTACACCAACTGACCACCAATCACAAAGCTGGGTGTGACCTGCAGTAAAAACTTATTCATGTACTAACGCAAACTAATATTTTAATGTTTTCAAGGATAATGCTTAGCTGCTCAAACAGCACAGTGTTTCTGTTTTAAAAAGACGGAAAAAAGCGTTTGAAAGAGAAATGTTCAAAACCGCCAATATAATGAGGATTTTAACAACAGTGAAGCGGCATATAAGTAAAAAAATTGGAAATGAAATATTTTCAAAAACCTGCTCAAAAAGTGCTACCGGTGCTTGCTGCTTTAAAATTTATAAAGCCGTTCAGAATTCAGTTTACAATGTAGTTTTAATGAGTGCCAAGTTCTGCTTTGTCATCTTCCCTGGTGCATTTCACCCAGGCACCATCTCTGAACCAAAATTTACCATGGCTGTGCTGCAGAAAGAGAAGTCTAGCTTTGATGTTTAATGCAT